TTTAAATCAGCCAACTTCTATGCTCTGATGTTATCACCTACAAGGAATTCCAGACTTGAAAAAGCAGCATAAGACCACTCTTTCAGACTCACTGGCAGGAACAGAGAAGCTCTGATTAAAAGAAAGTTAGAAGGAATAGAAAAATGGGCTGCAGTGCAAAGCCTGAAAAAAAATACAAGCTTGTGGACAGAAACTCCTTTATTGTTCAGTGTTTTTTGGCAAGTCTATGAGCACAAACAAATGGAATGAATGCTGTAAGCAAAAGAAAGTAAGACATGGTTGTGATATGGAGCAAAGACGCAAAATATTAAGCATGTTGGAAAAAAAAAAAAAAACAGTTTGGAAACAATAAGCAAAAAAAAGAAAACTAACCACAGTCATCAAAATAAATCAGAAGTTTATACTAACACAGCAAGGCTGTGAACATGTATTCAGGCCCCTCTGTGAATGTTAACCATCTTCTTACTGAAACCAGCACAATTTGTAAGCATTTCCATCAAGCTTATAAAGCTGTATTGTTATGCAGTGAAGACTGTTGTCATCTGGAAATATGGATAGCTGATTATCACACAGTGGATAGCTGATTATCACACATTCCACCTTCAAGGAATAAAGCAGCACGTCTGCAAATGCAGTCTCACATATCCCAAAGTCATATAAAGGAGACATTTTGAAAAATATTCCCTTCCCTATAAATACTATTGAGACAGGCCATTTTCTTGCTTATGTATTAATGCATTTAATTGAAAACCCAAGGCAGCTGTTACACTGAGATCCATTTCATTATGGTCATAAAAATAATGGATGCTCAACACAGAGCTGAATACAGATTGCAGCCAAAGCTATTTACTAATTCCTTTTTCCCTGATGGCTGAGAACTAACCACAAATTTGAAAGGCCAAAAACACAAAGGGAAAAAAACATTACGGCGAGTTTAGCAGGTACAAGCCTAAGTCATTTTTTAGATGCTACTAGAGACTAGCAATCAAGAGAACACAGAATTTGGGCACCCAAGCAACAGGCTGCAGCACAAGCAATGGACACTACATGGTCTGTTCTCTTTCTTCATTCAATCACAGCTAGAAACTAAGCAGATCTTGGATCTTCATCTCATACAGCCTGAGCAATTCAGAGTCTACTCCGGACGGCTGAAGATCAAAACTAAAGCTGTTGGAGATGAGATGAAGCTTCACCTGCTTCTACTTCTGGAAAGAGATCATACTTCTACATTTTAAAATTTGTTTTTATAATAGTTAGACCCTTTATTTCCCCATTCACCTTGAAAACATATCTACATCAAAACAAGCAGCTTTGATTTTGGTAACATAGAAAGAACAAGGTCCATTTCTGCTTTTTCAGTCTTCCGTATAGAATTTGATCAATATCGAGTTTGGTCAAGCTAATGGCAAGTAGTCATTGGGCATTTCAGATAACCTTAGCAATACAGCTGAACTGTACTATTCTGTTGATCTGTTTCTGTATCTGTTAACCAGAAGTTTAACTTGCCTAGAGATACTTCAAAACAGATGCACTGGTCTCAAAACTTAAGCTCATCAATTGAAAATACATGTAAAAATAGCCACTGGATTGTCATTTTGAAAACAAGGATGTGTGAATGATTTTGATAGATTCCAATGCCATGATTGCCTAGAGAATGAGTTGCAATGGATTTTACCATGCTCTCTTTTCTGTTTCAAGACTGAGACTGTTCTATGTACGAACGAAAAAAAAGTTGCCAGGTAAAAGGAGTAAACAAATCCCTTGTAGATCATCTAGGTTACAAGCACAACTTGTAATCATAAATTTGTCATTAAAAGCTTTTTCCACTAAACTAAAAATTTCATCCTATGCTTCGCCATTCACCATTCTGCAAGCCTACTTCCTTATTAAAAAAAAAAAAGAAACAAACAAAAAATTCAGGAATACTTAGTTAAAACAATGTTTTTAGTAAAAAGAGACTTGTCTGAGATATTTCTGAAGTATTATGGTGCAACATGTTTCTCCAATTATAGTTCATCTTAAATTCAAATACCATCTTTCATTTAAGACATTAATTAATGCAGTTCACGCTCCAAGAAGAAACATTATTAGTAAGTATTTAGCTGTTCATTCCCAAAAGAAGATTGGAAAAAAAGTAAATATGAAGAACATTCAGGAATCAAAATTTAAAACTTCATAATGATTCTCATTGTCATTCTCTCTGCCTCCATGAAAAGTTCACTCAGACGTGCAGTGCCTTCAGAAACAAAACAGAAAACCTACAGGGATCATTGTTTACAACCCTCAGGTTCAGTCAAATTTTTGTCTGTACAACAAGAAAATAAATAACACTTCCAAGATAAAAAAAAAAAGCTTACAACCCATCAGGCATTAACTCATTAATTTACACTAGATTCATGAGTCCACACGGCTGGCAAACATTAACAGGGCAGGATACTGGGTACATCTCAGCAATTGGTCAAGGAATCATAGAAATATGTCTGCAGTGCAGAATCATTGCAGCTGAGAACCCAGCATTCACATTAAACAAACTCCTTGATTTAGAGCTGGTCTAATCTGTATGCTCAACCCTTTTAGGGACTGCTCTGTGTGGTAAAGTTTATTTCTCTCTTGATCTAACACCCTGCCTACACTGCTGTAAGACCCATATAGTTCATGCATCAATTTCCAGAAACCATGCTTGGGACACAAGTCTAGGACATCAAGATTAAAATAAATTAAAGATCTAGAAGGAAAGATTGGGATTTGTGCCTGTGGTCACTTATGTTCTTCATCTGAACTCTCAGGAAACACCGAATGCGGGCCACAAGCTGGGGCCACCAGGTGAACTTTGAACATTCATTACTCTTTTTTCACGCTGCTGAGTTTTGAACACGTTCCAGAGCATTCTTCCTACACACCACAACAGAAATGACTAAGAAGCGGAACTGGTAGATATCCCCCTATTTCAAAGAATAAACATTTATTTCTCACCAATTTTTCCTCTCTCAAATACTATATAGTAAAATTAAGTTTATGACAATTAGGAAATTTTTACTTGAGATTCTGCTGCGAAGCCAATTGCTACAGAAACAACATGCACATTCTTCTGAAAGAGCCTAAGCAGCAACAGAGATTCAAACTGCCACTATTTAAAGAAAACTGGAAAAGCTGCTCACAGCCTATGATTGCTTTCTACAAGCTAGTTACAAGCAATTGGAGATCAGCCTAAATGCTTCTGGAGATTGCTTCTTGTCGCTGTACAGACCTTGTCCCATTCAGATTAAAGCCATTTCGTGTTTCAGTGAAAAAAAAAAAAAAAAAAAAAAAAAAAAAAAGAAAGAAAAATGAAAGACACCGCCTGTCTCAATCTTCTTTTTAATTTTCACTCCCTGAAACTCACATCTGAATATATATTTCCTGAGGAAAAAGCCTGTACTGCAGACTGCATGATTTTTAATGATAGACCATTATTATTTACAAGCTCCTTACAGAAACTAATAGGTGAAGAATATCTTAGCCTTTAATGTCTGTAAATTTGCTTATACTCTTGTAAACTAAATCACGGATCTTTCAGAAATTTGTGACATTTAAAGCAGACGTCTTAGAAACCACAGAGTCAAACAAAAAGAAAACTGAATATAAATAATTGATTTAATCCAATTTAAGATGTTTTGAAGTTCACAGCAAACATGCAGTAGGTTTCAAAGGGGCAGTTAAGTCCCTGACACCAAACAACATTTCTCACGAGATGTCCTCATGAAAAACAATATATAACACAAAAATCACAAGTTCACATTAAGAAAAAAACAAAAAACCCTGTAATTTGCTTTTTTGTCCTTTGCATATATTGCTTGAAAAGCTTTTCATTCTGTATTGCATATTGCGTGATAGTTTTTTCTTAATAAGGTATTATATAATAATACATGTTATTTTGACTTATTAATTCTTGACTCATTATTTGATCAATGATTTTCAAATACAAAGGACAAAATTTTCAAAGTTTTATGGTACCACAAAAGCAAAAAAGGAAATAGAAAATTGTGTAGAGTTACAAGTTTGAATCCCAGACAAGATTTTCACAAATGTGCAATTATACTAATAGCTATTTGAATACCCACGGCACTATGAATAGGGTTGTATAAAATCAATTCTATAGCCAAGGCAACATCTGGCATACACTAAAGGTGTCTCAAAAGATGTGTGGGTAATTTTCAAAATTAGCTCATTTAAAATCCTGAAATATTCATTGCTGACCATGTTCTTAAACTAATGAGCTCAGAACTTTATGATTTTAGGAAATCCCATTTCTGCATCTAAAATCTATTGCTTATGGAGAAAAGTAGGGGTGTACTTTCCATCATTTTGAATACAGCAGCATGCTGAAAGTAAAACCACAAACAATTGCACCTATCTGCCAGCTGCCTGCAGACTGTGCACCATGTTATGAGAATTAGTTACTTTTCAAATAGCATTCAAGGCTGAGTTACTGTCTTCTCTCGGTCCACTTCAGATTTTGGGAGAAAAAGATGAAGGCAGAAAAGACTATTTAGCATCTATCCAACTCCACCTACAGCATTATGGTTGGATTTGATGATCCTGAAGGTTTTCTCTACCCTAGACAATTTGATGATTCTATATACTAAGAACCAGATGCTTACAGTGCTACTCTGATTACTACTTATGTTGACTAGAACTTCAAATGAATTTGAGAGATTTTGGTAGCTACGCATAATGATATTTTCACCCTACAAAGCATACAAATAATTTATAGTTGTTATTAGACTGAGTTTTGGATGGATCTGCAGGCTGTATATAATCAGTAAAACAACATCAAATTCCTACAGAAATAATTACAAAGAGCAAGTTATTTGCCATACTTTAGAACATAATGTGATTTTCATGTGACATCTTACTCATCCATAGCTGGAAAACACAAGCAAATTATTAAATTTGGTACTGGTGTCATTATGCCATATGTGCTGGAAATAGTGCATGCACAAATGTGAACTCAGAAAAAATTAAGATCAACATACTTTATTACAGTAAGTGTTAGTAAAATTACAATCACTATTTAAATCTCAGTTCTGCAATAGACTCCATGAATGATATGAGAGATCAGTACATGAGTGTTTCAGGAATTATCTTGCTATTTCAGTCAATACAGTAGGACAAATTATGGTTTAAGGATATACTTCTTGAGCATTAATTTTTCAAAATAAAATGCATAGTCAAAACACATGAGTTATCTGCTACAGATAATATTTTATGTATTATTTTGTAATACAATTCTATGTAGTGCATTGCTCTTTAAGAAGGAATTCTTTAGTTTTTATCATCAATACCATATTAATATGGCATACAGAAGCAACACAAGCTTTTAGCGCTCAACTCTCGATGATTCAATTTTGTTATTCACCTAAAAGAAGGTTAGAGAATGATGTGGTCCACAGTACTTAAATTCTTCATTACCAAAAGTTCCTAAGTTAGAGGAGTCCTGTGCGAGACAGAGAATGCTCAGCTGCAACAGAAGATTGTGAGATCAGATTCACTGCTATTAAATACAGACAAAAGCTATTCAACCTGTACACTTTTCCCTAAAACTGCACTTCTCAAAATAATATTCCCTTGCATTCCTTACATTCCCTTTCAGCAATGGGATGTAAGGAAAAATCACCTGTTGACCAAGTTTCTTTATTTTCCTTTTAATAACTAATTTTCTAGTAAAACTACTCATACTTCTCATAACTTGAGAATTGCCTGAATTTTTTCCAGCTGTAGTATACGTGTTACTACAGAAATCCATAATTATCACACCTATTTAAAGATACATGCATATTACATCCCTGGTAACACTGATCATACAAGGCACGTGTACAGTGCAATTTTGACACCTATGAACTTTCTTAAATACAATAAAACGTCTGATCTCCATATGTCTTTGTACCACTCATTTCATAAAAATGAACATGTATATTAAACAAAAGCTTATCCTTAAGTTAGTGGAACAAAACATACACAGTGGCATTTATAAAATTGATGACAATCCCCTTGAAGAGCATTAACAAGACTTAAAGTCAGGCCCAATATTTTTGTTTAATTTCATTTTCACTGTCTTATTGTGAGACTCATTGTCTTATTTGGCTAAAATGTAAATTGCGTATATTTTTTCAAAAAATCAGAATCACTACAATTATCGCTTGAAAGTTGCGTTTTCTATAAAAGTTAGCAAGTATGTCTTGATTAAAACCTAACAGTAATAACTGAAAAAGAATACAGTTATAAATAAAAACAGAACACCGCTCTTCATTAAATATGGAGTGAACAAGAGGATAAATGCAGACATAGCAGATGTGTTAAGAGACAGCTAATTTTTTAACAATCCAAGATTTATTCGTAAAACATCATCAGTTAAGAATAAATATCTATGCACAGTATAATTTGAAATCCTGAAGTATAAAATGATATTAATTGAAGTTTTAGACATTCATTTTCATCCAAACTACAGTTGTGATCATAGAACTACATCTACTGATTCTGAGCACCTTCTTAAATATCTCTGCATTGCCATTCTGAAAAAAACAACAGACAAGATAAAGCGGGAACTTCATAGGATTTCAGCAAGGTGTTTACTATGCAAAGATAAGTGAAGCATTTGGTCAAGTATTACAGTCTCCAGTGCCAGGTCACAGATATTATCCAAATATGTGAATATTAATCAAAATTAACGTTTGTTTCTTGTTATGCATTAGCTATTGTGATAATATGGCATCTGAATAAAGCAACAGATTCCTGCTCTAGGCATTTCTACTAAATCATTTCAGAAATACGTAGGCAGTGTGTGTTAATGACCAAAAATAAGAGCAAGTTAATTTTAAAGTCATAGTTTTTTTTTTTGTTTTTTTTTTTTTTTTTCCCCCCCAGAGGAATTTACTTTTTCCTGAACATAAAACGTGCCTTTCCAGAGGCAGGGTGGCTTCTTCTCATCTTTTCTACTGAAAAGCCTACATCCAGGCCAAACAATACAGCTCTTGGCCTACTTGAATACTTAAGAACCAGCAGATCGGAGAACTGCAGTGTGTTGGTTTTATTTTTTTTTTAGATCAAGTTTATAAATCTTTCTTAAAAAAAAAAAAATCCAAAAAATTTTGCATATATCTATCATTTCTCAAAATAGATACCAAAGTATATAAAATGCATGTATAAATACATCTACTTGGCCCTTCTCCTCTCAGTGATTTCTACATTTAAATTAAATGTTCATTCTAAATGTGCAGTTGTTAGACCTTTGACTTTATCTTTATTTCTGTTAGAAACTTTCATTGTAAAACAAAATCTCTGATAAGAATACTTGTATAGAGCATCCCAGATTTATATCAATAAAAATATCAGTCTTCTGACATACGTATTTCAAAGTCACTTTATATTTTTGAATTGAGAATGTTAAACTTCATAATTCTCATTCCAGTCGTCCTTGCTTAGCATCCCCTATTGCTCCCCACACATCAAAGACAAACTCATCTGGAAATGCAAAGTCTCCAAGAGTTTCATCCAATGCCACTGCAAATTCATCTGGGTTTTTCTTGTCTCTTCCTGCTTCCACCATTGTTGCAGCTGAAAAAAACAAACAGAAAGTAAAAAAATTATTCTCATGGAAGTGACAATTAACGTTTGCCCAAGATATTTTTTTTTGAGAGTTTTCAGAGTCCAGTAATGTTAAGGGGATCTAAAGCTTACCTACTGAATCCTAAATTCATTAATATCTGTGTACCATCCCCCACAGTATGTTTTGGTAAATGGGAGAACTTCCTTGGAGCATTCATTATATATTCTTTTAATTGTTTGGGAGATGTTAATTCAACCAGACTTCATTTCTCTCTAGCTAAATTATGTTCACCATTCATTACTACACATAAAGCATAAGTCTAAAGGCAAGGTACAGGAAACTCCTGTGATAACAAGCCCCATGCTAATGCACAACCAATTTCAGTGAGTTTGATGTAGCCTCACTTATCTAAAAGGCATACTCAAATGCTTTTTTCCCCTCTAAACAACAAATAAAAGATCCCAGCAAGTCAGAGTTTAAAATAGCCAAGTTTGTTGTATTTAAAAATATTTTTTTTTAACAAAATATTTGAACATGGAAAATAATATACAACCTATGCAGTAGACACGTGCAACCAAATTAATATGGGTTTGCAAGAAACAGCTTCTAAATTTAAGTGTTATAACCTGTATTTGGAAAAGGGCAATGATAAAAAAAAAAAAAGTATAGAGAAAACACTTGAACACTTCAGGAAAAAAGGATTCAAATACTACGCACAGTTCAACATATGCACAGTGTCAAAAAAGCCACAAAAAAGAGCAGAATGTAATTTGTCAGCAAACAGAGATAGACCGATATCTTGTTCGTCCAGCAATTTCTCCTGTTAAACACACGAGAATCAATCTTTATGAAGTTTCAGACTTCAGTTTGGAAGCTGCTTTAGTCACTGGACAACTCCTTAGCTTCCAAGAGAAATTACAAGTCTATCACAAACAGCACTCAACAGTGGCTGTAGGGGCATTAGTGGAAAGGAAAGCTGTGAGGGCTCAAAGCTCTCTCTTTCACAGCACCTGCACCTCCCAAAAAGATGAAAGATGTCAGCTCAGGAGAGATCAGCAAAACTAAGCTAAGCCAGTAGGCTATCTTCGTTTGAGGGATGCAGAAGACTGTAAAACAGACTCAGCACAAAAGGACTGCTGAACGATTTACTTTCTGAGTTGTATCTCTGCTCCACAGCCTCTATTCATATTAACAAAAAAAAAAAAAAAAAAAAAAAAAAAAGATTATCTTGTACAATGAATCAAACTCTGATTTATTTCATTGTCATCTTTTACACCTGCCTGGTACTGCAAGATGATGTATAACAGAAGATGAAGAACAAGTAACTTCCACCTTCTTTACAAACAAATGCTAATGTCACACTTGAAGGATTTAATAACTTCTAGGCTTTAAGAGGGATAACTGAGTTGTAAACATGTATTACAGTGCCTGACAAAGGGAAGGAAATCCTGAAATCACAGATAACCATTTTCAGTAAGAGTCTACTACATACTTGCTATGTAATGCATGCAGTACATGGTATTGAAATGGCAAAATCTCACTGATAAATGTAAAATAAGCTTTCCTTGTTCAAATGTGTATTTAATATTATTTTGTTAACCTGAAATTGTTTATTGACAGTTGGAACTGTCTGGAACATAGAGCTGGTTATTATGCAAACTTTTAACAAGCTGAGAGCAAACTGGAGCCACATGCCACACTGCAGACGTCAGCAACAGCAACTCTGAAGAAATTCGATGTTTCAATTTTAACTACATTCAGACGTGAGACTGCAAACAGGATCTCCATGCCAAACACCACAAAGAAGCCCAAAGTCTGACAAACAAACTGCTGTGCTCAAGGAAGCTTAAGCTTTACCAAGACTCCTGGCAACACTACAGGATCTCAAGGACTCAAGATGTCTTTCCCTGCCAGAAGTAACCTATTCTTGTTGTGTGGATTCTTTCTGCCTCCCCCATGGAGTCCTTGGGATACTGACTCAGAGCAGTCTAAAAGGGAAATGAGGTGAAGGGCTTAATTTAACCTTTGCAGTCCTCCTGAAACAAATGAGGATATGAAGCCATTCCATATAGGCAGTGAAACAAGGTTGGAGGGAGAGAAGATGTGCAAGCTGAAAGACAATTTAGACATAAAAAGTATGCCTGGATACATTTCCTTAAGATATTAAAAAGAAGGTAGTCATCAAAAGAGTGAGAATCTAGACAAGTATTCCAGTGGAAAAAGTGGTAGAGCAAGGAATTCTGGAGATAAACTGAGACATGAAAGAGACATATGATAGTTTAAGAGCAATAATAACACATTCTTTTATTGAAGTTCAACCATCCTAGTTAAAACTTCAGAATTACACAGTCATCAACCAAAACGCTACTTCAAACAAGACTTTTTAAATATTGAGCTTCCCAAATTACGAAGTGACAGTAAGTCAAAATGTCACAACCATTTGAGAGCAGCAGCCTCAAATAAAAACCTTTACAACTATATTGAACAATTGCAATCAGCATTACCACTACACTTAATGAGCTATACTTGTTAATGCACACTGCTCTTCTCTAATTCACCTGGTACAATAGAATACACTTATGCAGAAAGTGCAGGATCTTCCTGTCTCCTGCATGCCTTTTCAGTAGCACGGTGCTGACCTCTAGTGCCAGCAGCATTGTATTACCGTTCAGCAAACGGCAATGCGAGATGAAAGCAATCCCTACTGGTGTTGGCACACTAGTTCTTACCACCGACGCATACGAACAGGCAAAGATGAACCCTGTATTTCGCTAGTTTCAAACACAGAGAAGCACTAAGAGAGACTAGTTTCTCTATCACGCAGTGTACATGTTCTTACCCCCCTGGGCAGTTACCACATGCATGGGGTGGCATCCATGACCTCAGAAGCACAGCTGGAAAATTCTGTGCAGAATATGCATGCTTACATGGTGACAATTGCAATGCATAATTCCCAAGACAAATCAAAAAGTGCTTTGTTCAAGGGTATTTGGTAGATACGTGGCAATTGGAAAAGAACTTTACTGGCTCTCAGAGGACAGCATCTCCATGCCAAATTAGCTCCACTCCCCTCTTTCTCCCACTGCTTCTCATGACAGTGACACAATAAGTGATTGCATAAATTTTATTCTAATACAGAGAATAGTTTACTTGACAGTCCAGATAGTCCCATTGTCTTCAGAAATTTGTTTTAAAATCCCACTGCTAGCGATGCTCATACTTGAGAAAATTTCATAAAAAAATGTGAGAAGTTCAGGGAACTTGAAAGTGACAGAAGAAATTTTCTTCTCAGCTTTAACCAAGGAAGCTCGCTATCAGGCTTCCCAGAACACAATCACCTTACATAGCAGTTTTTGCAACCTATATCCTCTTCTGTCATTTTCAGAAAAAAAATAATAATCTTTCAGAAGCCTTAACAGACATTTCAGTATTTATTTAGCAGTAATGATATCAGAAGTTTTGCTTTCATCAAAAGGTAACAAATATTAGTCCAGCCTAACATTTTAAAAGAGCTCAAATAATCATCCACACTTCTTGTGCCACTAGAGTTTTCAGTGTTTAATATACCTTGGTGTTAGCTTCATGTTGAACACTGTCACAAATTAATCAATTTGAATGGCATAGTACAAAAACTGGAGAAATATAATCCTTTGAAGAATTAAGTTTGTAGACAATAGAAGAAAGCAACAGATTTGAGGAAAATACCACTTCATTCAAAGCATTTCAAAATACAAATATCCATCCACCATTGCTAGGATGTACAGATGATCAGAGAACAAAAGCTGAGGTGAGGAAAAACAAACTATATGGAATATAGCCGTATTTTGAGAATATGGAAAGCTGGAAAAATAAAACCATAAATTGAAAAGTAGATCTGAATTCTTCTAAACAGAATTGGAGAATATGCTAAGGTATGTAATCTCTGACAACATTAGAGGAACATCTGCGAGGAAACAATAATTCAAAAGCATAAAAATAGAACAAAATATTTATGAGTGAAGAGTAGCCAGAAGATGCTGGAACATCTCAAGTTGGACAGGAAACCCTTTTGCAAAAGTTTTGCCATTGATAGCATTCTGGGGTTGAGTGCTGTAGATACAGGCTTTCTCCCACCCACAACCTTTGATGTCAAATACAGCTTATCTCAATTCACTGATTTAAAAATAAATGCCATAAGAATTCTTCACTAACACTGCTTTCTGAACCATTCCAATTAATCAGCTGTTCATGTCCCTGTATCAGAAAACACTCACAAGACTTAAAATAATCTTCAGCAGCCCTCACTAACGCATTTGTACTTTAAAGAAAGCTGAAATCTTTGTCCAATTTCTAACATGTGCATGAAGCTGAGGAGTACATTTACAGAGCCAAATGTATCTTCTATGAATTAAGTCATTTTTTTCCCCAGTAAAATAGAGAGGTAGAAGTACAGGTATGTAAATCTCAACAGTGTTTAGATACCTGAAAATAATCATCTGTCACCACCACTCCCCCTCCTTCCCCCCCCCTCCCCCC